ATTTTAAGCATGTAACAATTATTGATTGAAACAAATTTACTTAAAACAGTTTTAGTATGTAACAGTTTTAGTATGTGACAGTTTTAGCATAAAACATTTTTAGTATGTAACAATTATTGATTGAAACAGTTTTAGTATGTAACAGTTTTAGTATGTGACAGTTTTAGCATAAAACATTTTTAGTATGTAACAATTATTGATTGAAACAGTTTTAGTATGTAACAGTTTTAGTATGTGACAGTTTTAGCATAAAACATTTTTAGTATGTAACAATTATTGATTGAAACAGTTTTAGTATGTAACAGTTTTAGTATGTGACAGTTTTAGCATAAAACATTTTTAGTATGTAACAATTATTGATTGAAACAGTTTTAGTATGTAACAGTTTTAGTATGTGACAGTTTTAGCATAAAACATTTTTAGTATGTAACAATTATTGATTGAAACATTTTTAGTATGTAACAATTATTGATTGAAACAAATTTACTTGAAACAGTTTTAGTATGAAACAGTTTTAGTATGAAACATTTTTAGTATGTAACAATTATTGATTGAAACAAATTTACTTGAAACAGTTTTAGTATGTAACAGTTTTGGTATGTAACATTTTTAGTATGTAACAGTTTTGGTATGTAACATTTTTAGTATGTAACAGTTTTGGTATGTAACATTTTTAGTATGTAACAGTTTTGGTATGTAACATTTTTAGTATGTAACAATTATTGATTGAAACAAATTTACTTGAAACAGTTTTAGTATGTAACAGTTTTGGTATGTAACAGTTTTGGGGTATGAAACATTTTGGTATGTAACAATTATTGATTGAAACAATTTTACTAGAAACAGTTTTAGTGTGTAACGGTTTTAATATGTGGCAATTATTGCAAATTTACCCAGTATGCAACAAAATTTCTTGAAATATTATCGACATGACGTGTTTTTAGTATGAGACAATTTTTCTCGAAACATTATTTGTATGTACGTAACAGTCCTAGTATGTAATTGTTGACTGTGACAATTTTACTTGAAACAATTTTATCCAAAACATAATTTAATTGAAACAATCTTACTTGGAACATGTTTAACTTGAAACAGTCTTACTTGGAACACAATACACCTGAAGCACATATTACATGAATCGGTCTTTTTTGAAATGTTTGTATCCGAAATAATTGCATTTATAATAATTTTATCCAAAACATATTTAACTTGAAATCGCCTTACTTGGAACATATTTAACCTGAAGCATATTTCTATTTTTGGTGTTATATCAATAGTTTTATTGGCGCATTTTTGAAAAAAAGTCATACAGTATTAATAAACAGGTCACTAAAAAATTGGTTTATTTTTATTTATGCCGTTTTTGGTTTTTGTTCACTAAGCGTACTTTTTATTGTTAATCAATATAAAACCACTTAATAAAAAATCACAAGGTCATTCTGTTTTATTTAGATAATTCAAATAAAAAAGAACATATATTGACGACATAATTCACCCACACCACCTTAATCTAATCGTTCACCCCCATAAAAATGAAAATATCGGGCAATGAATTCAACAACATTGTTAAGGTAAAATTGTATAAATTTTTTAACAATGATTTAACTCACAAAGGTTTTACCTACAAACTCGACCTCAATGTCGATACAACCCATTTAATCCGAATGGTCAGTGTTTTGCTGGAGGTCTTTATTTTTGTGCGGAATATGATTGTCATCACTATCTAAATGGATATGGTAATTTTGTTGCAATAGTCGAAATACCCGATGATGCCCAAGTTTACATTGAAGACCATAAATTTAAGGCTGATCGAATTACACTTAAAAGTATTGTTGATTTTTAAAACTTGCCGGAACAATTTTGGATTGACATTATTCGAAAAAATGGATTATTATTGAAACATGTGGAAAAACAAACCGGGGAAATATGTAGATTAGCAGTCAAAATGGTTTAGCATTACGATATGTGGGAGAGCAGACCAAAGAATTATGCGAATTGGCAGTTAAACAAAATTGTTTAGCGTTAGAATTTGTAAAAGAACAAACCGAAGAAATACGTAATTTAGAAGCAGCTAAGCAGCAAATAAAAATAAATATAAAATCACTTGAAAACATACTTCTATTATCTGAAAGACTAAAATTACGCCTTTCGGAATGACAAGATTATCGGGAAATGAATTTAATAACACTGTTGTCTCTAATGGGGTAAAATTATACAAATTTCTTAACAATGATTTAACTCACCATGATTTTACATACAAACCGGGGCTCAATATCGACACTTGTATTTAATCCAAGTGGCAGTTCTGCAGGAGGTCTCAATTTTTGCGCGAAATATGATTGTCATCACCATCTAAACAGATATGGTAAATTTGTTGCAATAGTTGAAATACCGGATGACGCCAAAGTTTGTGTCAAAACACGCAAATTTAAGGCTGATCGAAATGTACTTAAAAGTATCATTGAATTTAAAGATCTGTCTGAACAATTTTGGATTGACGATGTTCGGAAAAATGGATCATTGTTGGAACATGTAGAAAAACAAACTGGGGAAAAATGTAAATTGGCTGTTCAGGAAGACGGATTGGCGTTAAAATTTGTAAAAGAACAAACTGAGGAAATATGTGAATTAGCAGTTCAAGGTGATGGTTTAGCATTAAAATATGTAATTAAACAAACCGAAAAAATATGTAAATTAGCAGTTTAACAATGCGAATTTGCATTGGAATATGTAAAAGAACAAACCGAAAAAATATGTAAATTAGCGGTTCAACAAAATGGTTTGGCACTAGAAGACGTAAATGTAAATGAACAAACTGAAGAAATATGCAAATTAGCGGTTCGGCAAAATGGTTTAGCATTAAAATATGTAATCAAACAAACCGAAGAGATATGTAAATTGGCGGTTAAACAAAAAGAATCTGCTTTAGAGTATGTAAAAGAACAAACCGAAGAAATATGTGAATTAGCTGTCAAATAAAATAGTTATGCCTTAAAAAACGTAAAAAAACAAACCAAAGAAATATGCAAATTAGCTGTCAAACAAAACGGTTTAGCACTAATATATGTATATATGTAAAAGACCAAACAGACAAAATATGTAAAACGGCAGTCCGGCAAAATGGTTTGGCATTAAAATATGTAATTGAGCAAACTAAAGAGATATGTGTTTTGGCCGTTCAACAAAACAAATTAGCGTTACAATATGTTTTTGACAACCTCTTACCTATGTCTTGTGACTTATTCATTTAACATTTCAATAAATGTGCCAATAAAACTATTGATAAAACACCGAAAACACAAACCAATATAAATATTATTGACAAAATAACAATTATCGTAATAAAACTAAAATCAATTCTATTGGCACAAAATTTAAATATTACCTAAAAAAGTCGTTATTTTAGATAAATTAAATAAAAATATTTTAAAAAATAGTTGAATCGCAATTATTCCGGTTTTTTGAGGGTAAATACGACAGATGATACGGGTGCAAACCCATTGTGTTCGGTTATTGCGTCATTATCTTGATTGTTGAAATCAAAATCATATTCCCCCCTTAATATACAACCAGAATGATCAATTAGCCTTTTAAATAAATCTTCTTTGTTATAATAAAAAGTTCCGGAAATCCATTTTGATTCTATTGGTGCCATATCTGTTGACATAAGAATTACACCTCCGGGTTTACATATTCTTGCCATTTCCTTCATAGCAATCATATCGCCTTTCCAGTCAGCTTGATTATACAAATGCTCGATCACGGATGTACAAATAACAATATCAAAATAATTATCCGAATAAGTAAGTTTTGTCATGTCTTGGGTCTCGACTACTATGTTTTCCGGATTTGGTGCAACTTTTGTCCAAAAGTCTTTCCAATAGTCCAATTGTCCTAAATCATTATCAGTACCTTTACCCCATTCCTCAAAATAGTCACTAATATAAATTTTTTCGACATATTGGGACAACCACGCCCCAAATAGTCCGTCTCTTGCACCGAGTTCACATACTATTTTATTATTAAAATCAACGTTACTATGAAATAGAACAGCATCGTCATATCGTCTCCCTTTTGGGTAGTGGTTACCATTTCCAAAATCGCGGTAAAATTCGTGATCTAATGTGAATTTTGTTAATTCATTATATGTTTTTTCTATTTCGGGATAGTCATTAAATGTTTTTTTCTGTCTATAGATCTGATTGAGTGGAACTTTTGATAGACTCATTTAAATATGTCTTTTGATAAAAATAGCGACTATAATATTTTTTTTAAATAACAATTTAATTTATTTCATAAAAAACGTGTTTATTTTATTTTATTTTATCTTCATCTTCATACGGTTTGGTTTTTTTTGTTGCTTCTTTATATTCGTTTATGAATTCTTCGTATGATTTTACTGACTCATTATACGGCAACGAACAATTTTCTTTTATTGCCTCTTTATATTCGTTTATGAAATCTTCATATGATTTTACTGATTCATTATACGGTAACGAACAGTTTTCTTTTATTGCCTCTTTATTCGTTTATGATTTTTTCAAATGATTTTTCTGATTCATTATACGGCAACACGTGGCTTCTTTTTATTATTAGTGTTGTCATTTTTATTATTGTCATAGTTAATTTAATCAATTCGGCCACATTAGTTTCTCTAGTTACTTTAGTTGCTTCAGCTATTATAGTGGACTCGCTTTCTTTTTCTTTATCAATAGGTTGCATTGATGGTATTATTTCCCCATATTGTTTCTGTCTCTCTTCTTCTTCCCCCATTTGTATCAAATTCCCAAATTCTTCAATGATTTTATTTTCAATTTTCACAAATATGTCGAGAGCGGCTACATATGTTCTTTTTATAAGGTATAATTTAACGTTTTTTAAAATTAACAACATATTGGCAAATCAACATAATTTGCCAAAAAAACGCACAAAATACACGAAAACGAATTGCAAAAAAACTGGCCTAATATGTTTATATTTCTTTTCCATTAATCAGACCGTCAAAACCCGGAAAGTCTTTTACCTAACTCATTTAATATCGGACTTTTTATCGGAGTTATTGTTGGAAGAATTCCGTCATACGTTCGGGGGGTTTTTGGAAATAAATCTATTTTACACGGATTATGACGTGTTGTGCGTTTTTCGTTAAATGCTTTTTGCTTTTTTTCTAAATTCGATTGATCACAGAAATCGCGAGGCATCATACATACATATGCGATTGCCCTAATATTTGATTCTTCCCGGTTTTCGTCTGCCCCGATTCCGCAATGGATAGTTCTACTATCCCATATCACTAATGAGCCTTCTGGACATTTGATATTTTTTATACGACATTTTTTATCAACAAGATAAAACTTCTCTTGTTCTTTTGTCAGCTTATTCCAATCAAATTCATTTGTAATGTTATACATTTCTTTAATTTCAGTATGAAATTTATGGCTTCCTTCCATAACCGATAATGTTGCGTCACCGTCTCTGACGTCTAATCCAGTAATAAAACTTTGTATACATTTAAAACCGGCACTCATAAATGATTGGTCTGTATGATACCATGTGTTGCCTTTGTTCCAACCCCTTTTTGTTGTTTCCGGTGGCAAATTAAAACTTAGCCCATCGAATGAAACCAATAGATCATTAACATCACACCCCCAAAAATGCGCAAATATTTTTGCAATTTTTATGTTTTGCCTTACATCCCAACATACTTGTGAATGTCCTACTCCCCAATGTTGTATTAACATTGAGTACAATGGATATAATTTATAAAATTCGTTCCAGGATTTTTCGTCATTTCTTTTTATTGGGATTTCCCAATTTTGTGTAATATGTTCAAAAAAATCCCAAAAACCACTAACCATCGCACAACATTCATTTTCATCTAATACTCTTGGAATAATAGCAACGCCATATTTTTTCAAGGTTTCCCTCAAAGACTCTATTGTGCAAGCGTACTTTTCAAATTCATAATCATGCTTTTCAAATTCATAACCGTACTTTTTAAATTCACGATTGTACTTTTTAGATTTATATTTACTCATCCTACCTTACCTTACCTTAACTTAATATTTGGTTATGTCATTTTAATAGGTTATGTAAAATAATCGTATTTTCAATATTTACCACAAATAATGAAAAATGCAAAAAGTGAATAGGCAATTCTTTGTATATTCTGTGTAAAAAAACCAAAAATATTTTGTTTAATAAAAATGGACCAAAATCTAAAACCCGGGTTAGATCTTGTTTGCAAACATTGGGATGATATCATATCGCAAGAAATTCCAATATTAATGTCGAGGCATTTAGAAAAAAATACGGCAGTTATACTGCTAGTTGTGTTCACGTGCTCAATTTTGTGTTTATTAAATGAATCAAAATGTGTTAACAAAATCGTCGATGCGCTAGAAGTTGAATGTATTTATGTCGGCAATAAACTTCAAAAAAATCTGACAACTGAGGCTAAAGCAGAAAATGATTTATTGGGAATGTTAAATTTTCTTACTGAATTAGGTAAAAACACATTGTCATTTGTACTGTATTTTCTTTTCTTTTCTTTTTTTATAAAACGCAATGGTATTAGTTATATTAAAATATGTTCGTTATAACAGTTTTTGCGATTTTATTAGTATTTTAATTAAAATAAAAGGTAACAAAGTCTCGACAAACAGGTCATAATAGATAAATATTGAAAAATAAAATAAAAATAAATTAGTTAACGTTAACATGATAGATTTAGGAACCAAATATAGGATAGGGTTTGCGGATTTTGTTTGACTACCAATTCACATATCTCTTTAGTTTTATCTTTTACATGTTGTAATGCCAAACCGTTTTGTCGAACTGCTAATTCACATATATTATCTGTTTGTTTTTTTACATATCGCAGTGCCAAACTGTTTTGTTTAACCACAAATTCACATATTTCTTCAGTCTGTTCCCTTACATATCACAACGCGCAATAATTTTCCTTAACAGTCAATTCGCATATTTTAACGCTTTGCCATTTTGCAGAACTGCTGATTCGCATATTTCATTGGTTTGATTGTCTGTGTGTTTCAATAACAACCGGTTTTGTCGATGTTCTATTTTATTATGTTTACATATTTTCCATAATATAACATTACGTTTTTATTCTTATTCTTTTCTTAATATTAATATATTTGTGTTCGATTTTTTAATAAAGTGAAATCAAGACGACATAAGTTATATTGTCAGTGTGTTCTTTTATATTTAATTTATCTAAAATAAAACGACTTTTGTTTTTATCATTTCAACATGTTATTTATGAGGAAACATTTTTAATTTAATTTATTAATTGGGGTGGGGTTGAAGATTAAGAAAAAGTGCGCATGATTTATTATTTGCATCCGTTTTTTTATGTTTTTTGGCAATTTGTATTGACCTATTTTTTAATAATGGTCGACATAAATATATTTGGGATTGGAAAATCAGGAAAATGTGGGCACGATAAGTTGCATCGGTTTTTTGCCAATTTATAGTCATTATATTAAAAAAATTGGTTTAATTGTGTTGTTTATTTACCGTTTACTCCGTTTTTGGTATTTGTTTACAAGGCGTAATATCCCTGTTGTTATTGATATAAATATAAATAGCACAGGCTGTCATTTTTTACGGATGAGTGTCTTGTTTTTCTGTAAAAATTGACATTAATAAACCAAATATATTTAAGTAAAATGTTTTAATTAGAAATACAATGATTCCCATTAAATCGACCACCGAATTAATAAGTATTTCAAAACTCATTGATAAAATAAAAAAACAAAAAAAAATTGATTTAACACCTATATATCAACGGGACATTGTATGGAGTGAGCAAAAAATGAGTGCATTTATTGATTCCCTAATGCGGGGTTATGTCCCTAGCAATATAACTGTAAACATAAACACTGACATTGATACTGATACTGGTACTGAAAAATGGACATGTATTGATGGGAAACAAAGGATCACTTCGATTTTGAATTTTTGTAAGAATTTGATTCCTTGGATTAAATCCACAGATAATGACAATGATAATGAGGATCAATACATCTATTACAGCATTATCCCAGACGAAAAAAAAGACAAATATAACTACAGCTTGCTCAACAATAAACAACAAGAAGAATTTCTAAACAAGTCGCTCATTGTTGTAAGTTACAATAATTTGGATTATAATACACAATGTGATATTTTTAACCGAATACAAAATTCTATGTCTGCTACCACCGGTGAACAAACTTTTTCGCTTTTTAAAAACCCTGATGTTGCGTCATTGTTTAAAGAATTTTGTCGAAACCACGACTACACAAAAAAAACAAGATTTCGCATTGTTGACCTCTTATTAAATATTATGTTTATGAAAAGAAACAGGGAAATCAAAGCTCTAAGTGGAAAAAAAGAAAAGAAAAAGTTTTTACAAGAACTCGACAATATGAACGAATATATTAAAACAATAAAAAGTGTCGAAAACCATCTTAAAGTTTATTTCAGTGACGAACTAATAGGACATAAGAACATTCTTGATAAAAAAATGACAAAAAATTTTATCATTGTGATGTTTTACCAACTAACTACCGAGACAATAAAACTATGTGATCTAAAAGAAAACCACTTTCCAAAAGTAAGATGTATGATAATAAATATTTGGGACAAATGGAATATTGTCGATGGCGATATAAACAAAGAAAGGTCAAAAATGTCTGTCAAAGTTCTTAAAAAAATTCAAAAGTTATATGAAGATAACAGTTCGATTATGAATAGTCTTGATGACGATGATAATGATAGTTATATTGATGAGAACGAATACGATGAGAATACCGATACCGACACCGACACCAATACCGATACCGAGATCGACAATAATGATAGTGACGAAAATAATGGTGATAGTGGTGGCGGTAGTGATAGTGATAGTGGTAGTGATAGTAATATTGACATTAGCGACGATAATAGTGACATTGGTGACAATAATAGTGACACCTGTAATAATAAGAAAATAATTAGTTCTAACAGGTCCATTAAAATAACTAAAAAGAACGATAATAGGAAAATCACTAAAAAAGTAAAATGATCAGTTTTTAGACCCAAATAATCTGACTTTGTGTAATTATAAAAAATATGACAATATTTTTCAGTCTTACATATTATCCCTATTTTTAATGATTTCCCGGTGTCGCGGTTTTAACATTTTGCAAAAAGATTGATTTTTATATATTATGTTTAGTCCTATCAAATAAATTTACTAATTAAGCTCTGAATAATTTAGAAATGGAATCTAATTTATTTAAATCTCCTAATTTGATGCAAAACCCGCGTTCCAATGTAAAATCATCATCAATTGATTATATCGATCTTTGCAACAGTCTTATTAAAAAATTTCAGCGTTTTGCAAAAAAATACACTGTTCCAAACCCCAATTTTGATTTTGACGCCAATATCTCTATTGTTAACACATTAAAATCCAAATTGGAACAAATCAAGGGAATTGGCGAAAGTTTTGAGAAAAGGGACAAACTAATTTGTTCTTTTTGCAATTCAATTGAAAAAACAACGAAAATAAATATGGTGACTAAGGGCGACTATGAAAGAAAAAGACATGAATGTTCGCGCGCTCTTGAATCATTATTTGGTGATAATGTGTTTGGAAACCCTTTGGGAACATCAATTCATTTTGTAATGCCGAACGTCAAATCCGACAGGATTAAATGTATTGCAGTCGCTCTCTCTTTGCAAGCTAAAACATCCATAGACAAAAGATTAAAGTTTGGGCCTTACAGGCTTGATAGCGTAATAAGTGAAGAGAATATTCGTATGACCGCGACACACGAGGATTATTGTAGGTATTGTCTTATTTTTACTGACACTGATACAAATTTATCAATAAAATGCTATATAGGGAACTTTTATGATTCCGCAAACGTCCGTGTTCAAATGCACGACTTTTTAAATAAAGAAAATATTCACAATACGTTTATTGATTTTGTACAACGCCATGCGGTATACTCCGATAATTTGACCGGATTTGTCAAAAAACTTGAAGAATCAATGACTAGAAACGAACGGATGGTTATATGGGAAAAAATTTTATCGATTTATGAAAAAGTTATCCCCTACCTAAACCAAGGATATAATAGTATTGATGTCGGAAATAATTACACATTAGTATCCTCTATCGAAGAAACCGATTTTTGTTATATTTCATATACAGATCCACCGTATAGGGTTATTCATCTTGCATGTGGCCACAAATTATCAATTATGGCAATTCATGGAATTATTACAAAAGGAAATTCTGATATAACCCATATGATAAATTGCCCGATGTGCAACAAAAATCTTGCCCCATTGCTTGAAAAAATTGTTCCATGTTATTCAGATGATTTACCAAAAACATACGATAATGAAAAATTTTTGGAGCGCGGTTTAATATCAGGCCTTACACTCGAAAAAATGAGTATGAGACCGGAAACTCCTGATTTTTTGTTCGAAACACCGTGTGGATACATCGATGATATTGATATTCAGAAAAACAAAAATTTGTATGTTGAAAGCCTTTTTGAAAAAAAACCACGTGGTGAGTATGACGAAGAGTTCATGAAATTGGCGATTGAACCACTTATACGCGCATATTTGAGCAACATATTAAGAGAGGATTTTCCCAAACGTGGCGATAATGATGACGATGACGATGACGACGCGAACTTTATGAAAAATATGATTAAATATGAAAAAACGTTCGGTTCATACGATAAAAGATTAGATGAAATAAAAGATTAGATGAAATTTGAAATGAAGTCGGAAGACAAAAAATCATAGTTACATTATTTTAATTATATGTTTTTTTGTAATATTTATGACGTGTTATTTTATAATTTACAACAAAACCGGAAAAAATAATTTAACATACTATATGTAATTGTCGCAACAAAATGTCGGGTCAAATAACATATATTATATATGCGACATGTGACGAACCGGGATGGAGGATTGGGGCAGTCAATTTATGTTGCTATGTATATCCTTTATATAAAAATTCCCAAGAATTAGGTCAACAGCTTTTTTTACTAAAAAATTGTCGATTTTTATTTAATAAAATAGGGGTGGAAAGTTTGTTAAATATGGCAAATAAAAAAACAATAATGTACTTAAAAGCCATATTGTTGTATTGGAACAAGAATGTAACTCGGGTCCGGTGTGTTATATTAGGGTAGGGATAACTAAAAAAACAAATCAAAAGATATCAGACCGTTATATATGGGAAAACTCGCTAATCCCTCTCCTCTCCTCTCCAAGTCAACAAAGTATTTGAAAATGATTTATGTCCGATCGGTGACCAGGCACACCCGTGACGTTTCTTTTTTTATTACCAGTGTTGTTATTTACGTATATCTAAAAACATACTTATTTATAAAATAACAAAAATTGAAAATCCGTTTAACAGAATGAGCTTTTTTGTATAATATATAAAACTACACATAATTTTGCAATAATCGCCAAAAATGGATATCCAGTTTAATAACAATAAGTACCCAAATTCAGTAAAACAATTTACTGACCAACAACTCGCATCCGCATTTGTAAAGATTTCAAAAAACCCTCTAATCACAAGAGTTATTGTTCCAAATTCACAATCCCTAAGACACGACCTCCAAAAAATCGCAACATGGAAAATAGACCCAAAGTATGCATATGTTCAAGACGTGGGTGATCTTAATAAAGTAATAATGAAAATTATGATATTTTCTAAAAATGACCAAGTTTACCAAAAATCACGCAAAACACAATCATCTATTGATAATCCAACTATAATTGCAAATATCAAAGGAAAAATAGACGACCTTAGTTTAAAATTGTCCCAAATCCCGCCCCAAAATCTGTCTGAAAAAACAAAAATAGAAAATGACATCATTTTAAAAAAAAACATTCTTGCAGAGCTCAATAAAAACACTGACACGGAAAACGGCGATTTTTCTCTTTTACAAATTGCGTCAATCGCGACACGTGTTTTCGAAATCATGACTGATAAAAACAAAAACTCCCAATTTTATCAAGAATTAAATTATGTTGTTAAACCAAAAATTGACCATATTAAAGAGTCAACCGGAGGGGATTATGTTCTTCAAAATTCTTCAAAAGATCGCCGTTACAATTCGGAATGTTGGATGTCTTCAAATCCAAAAGAAAATAATAGTAATAAATCAAATACATCAAATATGTCCGACAGTCAAAAATACCAAAATTTTCAAATATCCGCTCCAAAGTCCAGATATGTCCCTCCAAGCATGTCTAAAAAAAGAGATAAAGACGCGGTATTGTCGGAAAATCGTTTTAGCTCATTAGCTAATTTATCTAATACAGATGACAATCCTGGTATTTCTTTTAGTTCCGAAGTAAAAAACCGTGGACCGGTTATGGGAGGAAACAATTATAACCAACATCCCAAAAAATACGATGCTAATTTTTATACGGAAAGGCGTGGATATAATGACAATAGTAAAAACAACAGATATGGTGGAAATAGTAATAACGGGAGTTATTATAATTATAGCAAGAATAGGAATAACAAATACAATAATTTAGACAAAAACACAAAAGACAGTGGCTATTTAGATCTCAATAAAATTCCCGAACAAATCAACATTGCGTCCGTTGCTGAATTCCCAGTTTTGTCCAACCGAAATGAAAAAACCAAACTTTGTGAATCATGGGGAAAAAAAGACACAACTGAAATGACAAAACCTGTGTTAAATTCTCTTAAAAAAATCGAATCTTCGGAAACAGATAAAAAAAACGATGAAGAAATACTTGATGGATGGTTCGAAATACCTTGTGATAAACCAATAAATAAAACACCTTGTGTGAAAAAATTACTGTCTTTTGCGGATATCGCAAAAAAAGACGACCAATCATCTATTGTCCAAAATGACGGTTTGGAAAAAAAGGAAAACAGAGTGAGCGAAATAAACCAATTTATAAAACTCCCGCCAAAACGATTTAAAAAACCCGCACACAAAACATTTGGAATTTTCAGTGACTACAACGATAATGATTACAGTTATAACAATAATAATTGTGGTTATGGTAATGATTATTATAATTATGATGATGCTTACTACCCCCCCGATGATGATTATAACACAAATGATTGCAACTATGATTATAATGACAATGATAGTTATAATAATAACAATAACAATAGTCGAAACGAATGCGAGGATTATGACGAGGAGTTTTGGAACCACAATTTATAAAAAACATTGCTAGAATAAGAACAAGAACAAGATATTCAATTGATATAAATATTGATAGATGGGTTGAAGACGAGATGAAGGCGATATAATTTTTATTGTAAGTGTAAGTATGCGTCCTTATTTTGTTTTTATTTTTTATTTAATTTTATTTAAAACGATTTTTTATTATTTTAACTAAAATTGAGTTAATATAATTTGCCAAAAAACGGAAAATAAAACACAATTAAACCAAATTTTTAATAAAATGGTTACAACTCGATAATTGGTTAACTACGTTTACTTTTCTTCTTAAAATTATGCCAATTTGGCAAAAAGAATTATGTATATATTTTTAACCCCCTGACCTCACACCTCATATCATACTATAAAAAAATTGATGTTCCGATTTTATATGTTTTTCGGGCAACTGTAGTGACTAATACATTAACGACATTATTCCTAGCAATATGCCCCCGGATCTTGATATGTCCCCGTATAATAGCATCCCCGGTAATATTTACAAACGTATCATCAAACAGTTAAAAGAACTAGAAACGATATTTAATATTGAAATCCTTCTTGCTATTGAAAACGGATCACGATTATCGGGTTTATATCATGATAAATCAGATTATGATATAAGGTTTGTATTTAGATATAGAGACTCGGTTTTAAATAATGCTACAGGGCGTGAACTTATTAATTTTAATTTTACAGATTCAATTCAAGGTGCATCATCTGACAAAGTGCTCGATTGGCAAGGATGGTGTGTCGACAAAGCAGTCAAGGCGTTAAAATCAAGCAACCCGTCAATTATTGAGTGGCTTAATTCCGACATAATTTATGTTTTACGCGGAAACTTTCGGGACGATTTTCGTAAAACTGTTAACTTGATGAACAACACAAAGTCTCTATATTACCACTATTTTAACATGGCGAAAAAACACTGGAAAACATATATTAAAGACAATCAAATTATTTTATACAAAAAATATCTGTATGTTTTTCGTGCTTTATTAATGTTGATATATATCCGGTCCGATGAGTACATATTAAATAAAGAAAATGAGCCTGTCATAAACAGCTTCGATCGTCTGCTTTCTGTCGTAAAATCAAAAAAGTCCCACATTAAAGAACACAATCTCACGCCCGAACTTATTAACGACATAGAACTTCTTGTAAAAATTAAGAAAACAAACGAAACTTTTAACAACACGCCTCTAAAAACATTATATGCATGGATCAACGATTTTATTAAATACGAACAATCAAATGATTACGTTCGACTCACAAAGAAAAACGATTTGTCGGTTTCAATTACAAAATCCTTAGAAACAACAAAGAAAAAAGTAATGTCGGAGTACAAAAAGATTACAGAAATCTCAAAAAAATCAAATGTCATACATCCAAACGAATATATGCCATTATTTTACCAATATACACAATACATATGGCTTGTTCAACATCCAAACTCCGACTTAAACAATAAATCTCGTAATATCACTGATGTTCTTAAAGAAATCGATATCGACTCTAATTTAAGCCAGTGGATTTTAGATATTTCGGCAAAAACAGCATTAAACACGAATAATTTACCGGTTTCAGAAAAATTTGATCAAGCCGCAATATTTATACAGTATTTAGAAAACTTCACAAAACTAACTGATAAATTAAATTCCAAATCATTGGCCAACAATATTATTGGCAAGATAAATGAGTTAAAAAATTTTGTTGACTTTGCGGAGCACAATAATTTAAAATTAATTGATTTATGTGATAACAATAACCACAGCGATCTTTCTAAAAATATATGCAATGAGCAACGGGGAGTAATTGATCTTGTTCCCGTTCCCGAACACAATAAATATCACGAAATGATTAAAGCGGATTTGGACAAACATCTAAAATATGTCAATGAAATATGCTCAAAATATGGACAAGAAAAAGAAATTAATAAACTGGCAATGTATAAAGAATCATTTAAGTCGGTTGACCCTAGTGTGTTTTTAACGCTTTATAGAAGGTATGCCTTATAATATAAAGAGTCTTGTTTATTATAAATTAAAAAAATAGGTCGAATCTGTTTTTTTAGTTTATGAAATTGTAAATTTGGTTAAATTGCGTTTTTTGTTATTTGTTTATTATTAACACTTTTTATATATTTTAGCAAATTATATCGACTTAATTTATAATATAAATCAATATAATCACAAAAAGTAGTTTCATTATAGATAAACGAAATAAAAAAGAACACATGTTAACAACATAATTAATTATATACCATCTTTTATCCACCACCTGCTACCCCCTCTATTATATCGATATTTGGCATATGTTAGACACCCGTTAAATAATATGTTAATTTAGTTAGTTTATGTCTAAATATATTGTTTCGATCAAGTTTTGCAAGTTTTGTTCGCAGTTGAATAACCACGTATCTTACCCAAAACATAACAATTGTTTGCGTCGACATGTGGTTGTTGCTGCCAATGTATTTTGTAAGCATGTCATAATAAAGTTTAAGAGATCCCATACATATATACATTGAAGACATAATAAAGTAAATACTGGGCGACAAAGCGATAAAATAACTTGAACAATTATCATGTCAAATGGGGTGAAAGATTAAGACTATATAAATCATGTTGTCAGTATACACTCTTTTTTATTTTTGCCGTTTTGTCACGATTAAAAAAAAGAGGCATTTTTAAATTAAGTCGACATAATTTGCTAAAAAGTATAAATGGTAAACAATATAAAAAACCGCCAATTTTTACAATTAAACTATTTTTTAATATAACGGGTTACAAATTGGCAAAAAACAAAACAAAACAAAACAAAACAAAACAAAACAAAACAAATGCGAATGGTCAACTATGTTTATGTTCACATTCCCTATTATTTTACTGAAAAATTCGGTTTGATTTATTGCTTGCTGTTTGACATGATAAGAAAAAAAATGCCAAACTCAAATTTTATATTACCGATTTTTGTTTTTTTATGCAAACACTGCGTAAACAATATAATTTGCAAAAATCGAGATTATAGCAGTGAAACTCCTTTTCGTAATATATGTTTTTACATTCGGGATTCGAACATATGAATATATTGCATGTTTTGTTAGGTTTTCTACCAGGAATTTTGCCAGAAGTTGTTGTCAACATAACTTCCGACAAATAATTCGCAAGCATTCCAACAATTTTATTATGCGTTATTGATTTTGACCCGTATGCATCGTTTTTGCGTGTTATATACATATCCGAAACTGAATTTGCTAGATTGTTGATTTTTTTTTTCATTTTTGAACAAATAATTTGCAAAAATGAATAAAAAAATCGGTATTTCAACAAATTATGTTTTTCAGTTTTTTGTCAAAAACACTGCCCACCACACGTGCAATAAATAGCTAATATAGGTATACATATGTGTGACAATCAAAGACCGTGTTTAATCAGTTTTGCAAGAGATTGTGATAATTTGTGCCCGGTTATTTTTAAACAGACGTGTGCTAACCTATTGATTAAATCGACTGAATCTACAATATGTCATGTCCTTGATAATATAACATGGAATTTGACAAACACTGGAACTTTGACCGATACAAAAATATCATGGGACGTTAATGTTGTAAAAACAGTTACAAGTGACGTGAGCAGTAACGTGATCTTTAAAAGTGTTGTCAAACTTTATAACAACGGATCTAAACCAGCATTAATTGGCAATATTGTCGTAAACCTCCAAATGCTTAATTCAGATAAAGAATGGGTTACAGAAATTTCCGATATTCACGATTTAATAAACGGAAACTTAAATGCAGATGGATCACCTAAACTTGAAGGTCGTGTTTGTGAAAAAGGTTCAAGTGAAAACAAAACATCATTTTTGATATCAACTCGTTCTGGGGACCTAATAGTTTATACACCGTCTTTACCAAATGCAAAATTACCGATGGAAGTAACAACGCTCAGTTCATTGGCGACAATTGGCCAATATAATTCGACATTTATTCCGTTTAGCGCGACTTTTAAAAAGGCTAACGGTTTGGCAGGTGCGCAAATTCGTTTTGAAACAATTATAACTTACGGCACAACACCATTTGACTGTGATTTAGACAATACTAATTCATGCATTGGAATTCCTTACATTGGTGACGGAGTACCCCATGATGGTGTTAAAAGCGTTGCGTATTACACTTTATATACTGTTCCAGAAACCACCATATGCAATAATTCCGTGATTTTAAAAAATCCATCAAACAACATCACTTCCGGAGAAATAGACACATTGTTTAGTTTTACCAATTATGCAACAACAATCGGGGGTGGGAGCGGTGTTAATGTAAATGTAACAGAATCAGTTCAAAATAAAGTGGAAATAACGTCAATCAGTAAAGGAATTTATATAAATACCGCAAAACTTACTTCTCAATCAACAGGAATTTACGACACTCTGAGTATTTTAGATTTCTCAAATAAATCCGAACCTGTTAAATCATTTTTATTTCCCCCTTGCTGTAAAGAAATCAATATCAGTATTTCTAACAATGTAACCGTTACATAAAAAAATAATTGATTAACCGTTAAAATATACATAATAAATAAAAATTTGGAAAATATCGTAAATATAACAAAACGACTCATTTTGTTTTGTTATAAAAACAGGACAAATGATAAAATAATAGATTTAACTGATTGGCCATGTTTACACCCTTGAAAATTTAAAATAAAATGAGACAATAATTCTATTAAAATCTAAAAGGTTTATCCATTACAGGAATATGTAAATTATGATTATGTTGTAGCGACAATTACAACTACAACTACAACTGATTAGTTTTTAGTCCTCATTATATTATTATATTGGCATTAATGTTTTTACAACAAAACAACTATATTAGGGTATGGTAAGGTAAGGAAGTAAGTAAATCGCTCGCCATAGAACTTGTAACTATTCATTACTAACACATTGTTGTCATGTCATTATTTCTTTAAATAGTTTTGTTATTGTTGTCTCATTTTATT